TGACTTGTCTTCGGACTTCTAAAACCATATCCCATCAATGGAGTGTCCTGCAAAGATGAGGTGTCTTGTTTTAAAAGAATTGTCTATGTTTTGTTGAAAATAAAAGATTTAATGGAACTTTTAGATACGCTCTTACGAGGTCTTTAACTTAAACTTTTGATTATGTTTATTCATAAAAAAGAGCATTAGAAAACATCATTAAAAAAGAGATTAAAAAAGAGTGAATCTTCTAGACTGTGCTTTGAAAAAGCTTAAAACTTTCTTCTTTTATCTTTCTTCCCATGTCATGTGTCAAATCCTATTAATTTAATGCAGCCAATTCTGTTAAATCCTTCCATTGTACTTTTCTTTACATTTCTACTCGCATACACATCTACGTGTATTAACATTATTTTTTCCAAGAACATTACTTATTTTTATTTTCTAATCTTAAGTAGTGTTTTATAAGACACTAAGATCACTATCCGAAAATTAAATAGCGCTGTAAAGAACACTATTTCCTGTTCAGAATAAACTTTGTTGACGTATTTCAAGTCAAAGAATCGTTCAAAGACTGTTTGTTTTCGTTGGGTAAGATAATTCAAAATCAAACGAAAGGACGGATGTCGATAAGAGCCAGAATCGGTCCCTACACAAATCAAGCTCATATTCACAAGTCTGATATAGTTTTCCTCCGTAATTAAAACTAGCACCTCACAAAAACCATTTTCAGTCCCTCTCGAAAAAATTCCGCATTCAAACATTTCTCCACTTGAACTTTATTTAGAGTATTTTTTCCCATTTCTTCCCTTTGCACAAAGCAAACCTAAACTACTGTATATCATTCGATACAGAACTTAACGGAGTACAAAATGATAAATATATTACTGAGAACAAATGGAATCTTGGCGTCATCACAGGAGAAATACTAGCCCCGACCTCCACAAATCGATAAGTGAACGGCGTTCCTTGCTTATATTGTCCGGCTAGTTTATCGTTAAGCACTCCACTTTATATATCAGAGACAAGAGAATTTTATGGGTTACAAAATGATCTATAGGACATTCAGACCAAATGGAGCTGTGGTGTCCTAGCACTAGAAATACTAGCCCCGACCTCTACAAACGGATAGGTCAACAGCGTTCCTCGCTTATATTGTCAGCCAGTTTACCGTTAACCACGCCACTTTGGATATCATTCGATAGAGAATTGCAGGGGCTACAAAATGATACATATAATATTGAGAAAAAATGGGGTCTGGGTGTCCTAACACTAGAAATACTGGTGGGGAGGGATGTTTTCGGCAGCGATGAATAGTCATGTCCATATAAAATTGTTTACCATTTACATCGGCCGTTCACGTCAGTGACGAGACCTACGACGAGAAATGTTTGGATGCGGAATTTTTTTCAGAGGTCTGAAAATGTTTTTTGTGAGGTGCTGGTTTTAATCACGGAGGAAAACTACATCAGACTTGTGAATATGAGCTTGATTGGTGAAGGGGCCGATTCTGGCTCTTATCGACCTCCGTCCTTCCACAAGTGTTCATTTTGGAACAGCTTTTTCTCATAAAGTGTTGATCAAAAAAGCGGTGAACGTTAATAGAGAAAGAAATTAGACGAATATATAGTGAAAGACAGGTTACACCAAGGTGGAAAGCACAGAATCCTGGAATCCGACGGAATCCAATGGAATCGAATGAAATCCAATGAAATCTAGCGGAACCATATAGAATCTTGAAGTACAAATTGATCTCTTTCGGTATATATTTTAGAAAATAGTAATAAAAAACACAAAGAAACGAAGAGTATAAAACGATGAAGAAGAGATCAAGAATACGACCTAAGGTGGAATACTAATCACGACTAACTCTTGACTACTTTTAACTGCTCCTCCTCCGAATGAATAATAGAAAAAAACGGTACGCTCGAATATATATTATGTCGAAAAGAAAATCATAGAGAGTATGAATCAAACAGAGAAAAGAAGGAGATCTAGAATAAGATAAAAAATAACCAGAGATAAGGACTGGTCAATGATAACAAATATAGGTAAGGAGGGAGAGAAGTAGACTATGGACTGTAAACTATATTACGACCTCAAAATTAAAATAAATAACAAAACATGCTTTGGACTAGTGCGCTAAGTATATGCTGTATACTTAACAAAGATTAATCGCTCTGAATCTGTTGATAGATAAATGAGGAGAACCGCTCGATCGCAAAGCTTTTAGTGGAGGTAGTGTGATCCTATGAACTACAACCAAGGGGGAAGAAGCGGACTCCTGGACTTCTACGGACTCCTATGGACTCCTGAAGTCCAGGAGTCCATGGGAGCCCACTTTTCCCCCCTTAACTACAACTCAGCAAACAAACAACGGGTCATCGATATATACATATATCAGTAACTACAAACAAATCGAATAAAGAAAAACGAAAAAGAGATATCAGCATAGAAACCTGAGGGTGATACAGATGGTGGTCCTTTGACAGTTTTAGAAGTTTATTCAAAATCTAGAGGAGTTCTAAGGAAGCGAAGAGAATCCTAAGGAATCCTAGAGAATCATAGGGAATCCTTGGAATCCAGGGGAATTCAGGATTCCAGGATTCCGTGCTTTCCCCCTTGAGTTACACACAGTTAGAGAGCATATAGTGTTAAATGAGTTCAGCTTATAATTAAAAAGAAGCTGTTTCTGTTACTTGGTTCAAGACAAGGTAGGTGTCGTGATCTGAAATCAACCGAGAAACTGGGAAAATGTAGGGCACTGTTGATT